CTTAATTTGGTTTGACACCCACTGCATGCCCCACCAAATTTCTAATGTGGTGAAGTCAGACTTGTTGACATTGTAGAAAATTTCCATCTGCAGGATCTGGAAGTTCATAAAGGTCTTAACATATTTTCAGTAGTGGCAGCAGGTGCCAAGTGAGCCACAGTATGAATTGTTTGGGGTTTTTTCCTGTCAGGTAATGGACCATGCAATGGAGACTGAGAAGATGATTGATAAATACAGTGGATTGGCTTCAGACCTGCTGATGTGGATAGAACAGACCATTGCCAATCTTAACAGCCGCAAGTTTGCTAATTCTCTGGCAGGCGTGCAGCAGCAACTCCAGTACTTCAGTACATACCGCACAGTGGAAAAACCCCCCAAGTAAGTACCTTCAACTGGAAGGAAGTGTTTTTGCTAATGTTTACCTTCTTTTTCTGAGAGAGAGAGAAAGATGCTTAAACTGTGCCTATCTGAATTGTGACTCATTTGGCTGTGATCTGAAGCTTTCAGAAGTGTTGAAGATTAACACATGATGATGACGATGATGATGTAATGAATAAGAATGAGGAGACAGCTTGAAGGAGAAAAAGATATTTGTGCAGGCCTGCAGTCTTTTCTCTTTCAAACTGGATGAACTTGCAGATACAGTATTTGCACGGTCACCTGATTTAATATTTTAAAATGATGAAAGGAAAAAGTCTCTTCCTTTCCCTCCAAAGACATTAAGTAACAATTTGTGAACCAAATGACACCCAGCATTAGTAAAATGGGTAAAAGGGTATGGCTTCAGAAATAGAACCTTTAGGATATGGATTACATTACACAGAGTGCAGTCTGAAACATACTTACATAAGTCAACTCCACTGAATATTTTATTTATTTATTATTAAATTTGTATGCCGCCCATCTCCCCAAATGGGTGCCTCTGGAATATCTTAAGACCTAATTCTGAATAAACAATTGTGGAATTTCCCCAAGTATCCCTGAACTTGTGTCCCCCACCTGGATTAGCAGCAATCAGGAATTCTCACAGCAAATGTGCAAGTGGCGGATCTTAAGCACACTAATACATCAATGCCTATTATTTATTTATTTATTAAATTTATCTCTGCCCATCTCCCCCTAGTGGGGACTGTGGGCAGCTCTCACAAACCGTTTAAAACACTCTCTCCCCCCCCCTACACACACACACACACACATAAAACATAAACATTTATACAAAACATTACCAAAAAGAGAAAGTCCAAGAAAATGATGGATTCTGGGACTGAAGGCAACAGACGTCTAAGGGGCTAGCCATCTAAACCTCCCATTTAGCAGTGTCTCAAATCAAACATTGCTGTGACAGTGGATCTGCTTTTGACAAACACTGTAGCAGTACTCTTATCTCTGTGTTTCGTCACATTGAATAGAAGAAGGATGCTCTACCATCTAATAACTTCCTGCATAATTGCATCCCATGAGAGAGGAAGCTGGGTACTATTTCTAACAGAGCTGACTGAAAAGGGGGTTGCCAAAAAATCCACTTGGGTGGCTAAAGGCGAAGGAAAGCAAGTGTACTTGTCCTTCTTGTGTAGAAAGAAAAAAATCTTGTGAAAAGAAAATGTTGACCAATGTAGATTTTCTGATTGCTTAGTGATGCTGTTTTTCCAAGATTCCTCCTTCTGCAAACTGTGAAAGGTATAGTTAGAGGCTTTCTGTACCACAAATTAACTATCTGAGTATGGAACAGGAAGCATGATTTAACCACTGCTGTACTCCCTTTCCTGCTAAAGAACTGATCAGAACATCTGCCTGAGTTATCAGTAGGTTTGGATGTCAGCTGAATACTGTAAAGGGATTGAATTCCAGTATTTTAAAGCCAGCTTTCTTAGTTCTTTCCTTACTAGTGTATAAATTGCAATAGCCACCTTAAACTCCAATTACTTAGTCCACTGAAAAGATATTTCATACATAGCATTACTTTTTAATTATTCTGTTGAGAGACTGATTCAGAATGTATTTCAGTGACAGTGTGGCATGCATTACATCTCTGTTCTTTGAGATCTTCTGTACTCAAAAGGATGCTTTCTTATATTTGTGTGTTTTAGATTTCAAGAGAAGGGGAACTTAGAAGTTCTGCTGTATACTATCCAGTCCCGAATGCGAGCAAACAATCAAAAAGTGTATACCCCTCATGAAGGAAAACTAGTATCTGACATCAACAGGGTATTTAAGATAGAGTCTTTTAACAGAAGATGTGGTAGATCAAGAAACCTGTCAGTGGAGCTTTTCTTCTCTCTCTCTTTTTTAATTCTCAGTTTGGTGGTTGGAAAAGGGTCATAGTGGGAGAACGTTTGTTTACATGCAGAAGATTACAGGTTCAGTCTTGAGTTCTGATTTGTGTCATGGGGGCCCATTAGAGCATAATGAGCTACAAAGATACATCCTCAACATCTGTATGATTTGCCTTAATAATATTGAAGGACTAAAAGAGTACAAATGCCACAGTCTTAATTGTGTTTTAATTTCATTCTGCATTATAATATAATGCTATTGTAGCAAAACTGTAAACGGCAGATTGGGAAAGGTATTGTATAGTTATGTAGCTAACATGGAAAAATGAGAGTTGAATAGATTTACACTTACATAATTATGACAGTTACAGGAGTTTCTTTAGCTTATTTAGAGTACATTCTTATTTGCACAGGCCTGGGAGAAGTTGGAAAAGGCAGAGCACGAACGGGAACTAGCACTGAGAAATGAGCTTATTAGGCAGGAGAAGCTGGAGCAGCTTGCCCGACGCTTTGATCGCAAGGCAGCAATGCGAGAGACGTGGCTTAGTGAAAATCAGCGCCTTGTTGCACAGGTAATCAAGAACTGTCTGGGACTTCGTTGGATGTGTAATTATACCTTCTGCAGATAACACATTTAATCCAGAGCCAGAAAGTCTGTGTGTTTTGATACTTGATAACTTGGTAATAAATAATTACTTTAAGACTGCTTTTTTTATGGAAGGGCAAAATGTGAATGGAGCTTGTCATCTTGGGGGATAGTATTTCTTACATTCAGAACAGTTTGTGGCCTGAGCCATGCAGGAATTTTGGGTACCTATGAGCAAATATCTCCCATCAAGTAGTATGTACATGTATCGAGTATTCACCAGGAGACCCCAAACAGCAAACATCTAATATATAAGTGAAATCATTTTTCTCAAGCTCTGGGTTTTGCAACAGGTTTTCTGGATGAGGATTAGCAGGGGACAGTTTGGTGGAAGTTAGATGGAAAATAAATCCAGAAATAGGATTTAAGAAATTTAAGATTTTAGAGAGTTGTGGCATGATACACTAACTCAAGTTGATCAAATTACACCAGCAATACGTCCATGGCTTTGTGAGTTTCATGTGAGATGCAATTATGATGGATTCATCAAAATACCACAAATCCTTTGTTCTTTGAACATGGCGTGCTTTCCTAGTGAATGTATATTGCCATTCTTTTTCAGGTCATGTGTTGTCCTGAAAATAGAATGAATTACCAAATGCTTCATAGTTACAATTCTAGTGAGCAGATATTTATTGGATAAAAGTATTGACCTGTATATGATGCAGTTTTGTGGTTCAGTACTTCTCCATACAGGAGCAGGAGCATCATTTGTTGTTTAAAGGTCAGGTTATGGAGTTGTTTGCTTCATTGTAGCTTTACAAAGTGAAGTGGTGCCCTGCTTCTTTTCTGTGTTGCAGCACTGCCTCTTCTACATTTGGAAACAAGGTGGCTCTGCAAAAAAGCATCCCTTTGCCCACCCTTATATTATTTCAGCCTACCATAATAGATCAGTTACAAACAAGCATTTAAAGGACCATTAAAGACCTGCATATTTACAACAAAAGCTGTGCTGTGTTATTTTATGCATGCATTCCACTCTGTGGTATACAGTGTGAGAGACAATAGGCAGTGAAGATATTGCTGACAAAACTATGTTTACTTGGGGCAGGATAACTTTGGAAATGATTTGCCAGCTGTGGAGGCAGCAAAGAAGAAGCATGAAGCCATTGAAACTGACACAGCTGCCTATAAGGAACGGGTACAGGCCATAGAGGAGGTGGCCAAGGAACTGGAAGTAGAGAATTACCATGACATCAAGCGCATCAATGCTCGCAAGAACAGTATCCTGCGATTATGGGATTACCTATTGGAACTGCTGCAAGCACGACGCCAGAGGCTGGAGATGAATCTGACACTGCAGCATTTGTTTCAAGATATGCTGCATAGCATTGACTGGATAGATGAGATGAAAGTAAGGAAGGCCCTTGGTAGGACTTTGTGGTTTGCTGGAGATAAGTTGGAAAATAGGGATGGAGACCCAAGCGCTGAATTATAATATGTGGCTTAATTTATTGATACATTTAAGGAATCTTACCACGTTCCTTAAAGTCTGATAAAATACACATGATGAAAAACAACACCCCAGACTGATAAATGACCAACTTCTGCAGCATTGATTGTACTATCCGGTTCCTTAAAAATATCTTGATCGACATCTTACAAGCTGTTTAGAAAGCTAATTTGAAAAGCCTCTTGACTAAAGCATCTTCATGAAACTGGTATTCACCAGCTGTGTGGGAGTACAGTTTCCCTTGTTTCAAGAGAGCATGCTTCCATTTCTTCATCCAAATTGTCTTCCCAAGTGTCTTCTCCAACAGGATTCAGAATACCATATTATAAGGCCCATAGGAAGAGACAACTGTGTGCATGTAAAATAACTTTAATATTTCCTTGAATGGCTTTTCTTAAACATGGGCTGTTCCTGCTGCTTTGTTCAGGATCATCCTAAACTGCTATTCTAAAAAAAAAAGGGCCAAGGCTCCATTCCATGCTTGGTTGTTTAAGAGAAAGGGAAATGCAGTTTCATTTTGTATTTCTCCAGGTAAAACTTTCATCTCCTGAAACTGGGAAGCATCTGTTGGAAGTAGAAGACTTGCTTCAGAAGCACAAGTTGATGGAGGCTGACATGGCCATTCAGGCAGAGAAGATGCATGCTGTCAATGCAGCTGCCCTTAAATTTGCAAATGGAGGAGGTAAGTGTTTGTCAAATTGCTAAGAATGAGCAAATCATTGGTGTTTACATCTATATAAAAGGAACGGATGAGGAGGGACAGCCTATATCTAGCCTCTGGAAAATTTTTGTTCTTAGTAGTTGTTTGAAGTGAATGCTTTTATTCACATTCATCCCTTGGTCAATTCTCTTATTGATTGAATGAGTTCCCAGCTGTGAAATCCATTCCATTCAACTAGGACCTCTCTTGGTTGTAAATTTCAGAACTGCAGGGTGATGGATATATGCTTTAGAACTATGGCTGATTGTCTGTTGGCTTCTAGTTGTTTGAACTGTGGACATAAGGACTGAATTATGGAACTTGAATGATACTGGGAAATTTTTCATAGTGTCGCTTAGTGTGATAATTGCCAGTTTTTGCTAATTTCTTTTACAATCTCAATTTTTTTTCCCCAGGAATGTCCTCCTATATAGAGAATATGACATATTCTCAGTATGGTGTTTATGAATAATGTAATTATTCACCTAGTGGGTTACTGTGTTTGGATATGCTGGATTTTGCTAGTATTCCTGACTTTTAGAGTGCTTGTGGCATTACTGATAAGGAGGGACATTAGCTCCCTGTTCTCCCATGTTCTGCTGCTAATTGAGGAAGGAAGGAAGGAAGGAAGGAAGG